GCTCTGCATCAGCTGACTGACCTTCCCTGGTCGTTCCATTCAAAAGCCCTTTGCAGTCTGCAGAGCAGTTGCACATATGTTGTCACATTTGATTTCCACAGCACGAAGCATGAGCAGCACAGACATTATTACTGCCTGTGAAAGGGGAGCTCTGTGGTCAGGACCCTTTTGATTGCCAGTGAGAGAACCAACTCAAACCATCTTAAGCCAAAAAGAGAATTCATTGGCGAGCCTGGGGATGCCACTGACATCCGGCTCCGTTGGATCTGGGGACTCAGACAATGGCACCAGCAGCCTCGCTCTCTCTGTCCCTCAACATTCTTCCCTCTGGTTCAGCTTTAATTACAACTTCCTCCTGGGCTCACATGGCTGCCAGCAGCTCCAGGGTCACATCCTCACAGCTGCCTGTTTCAACTAAAGTCCTAGATCTAATGCTCATTGGGCTGAGATGGGTCACGTGTCCACCCCGAAGGTGGAGTCTGTCCTGCCCATTCCCTGTCAGTGGAGAATGGAAGAGAGCAATTTCCAAGGAAAATGGGGGTGATGTAAGCTGTGGGCTCGCCATGCAATGACAGATGTCCCTATGGCAATCTCAGAGGAGGTTGGGTAACAGTGTCTTTTAAATGTTTCAGTGAGAAGTGGTTGACAAAGAAATGAACTGAACTTGCCACTCTCCCATCTAAATTGGGCTAGTTGTGTCCCGCTCACGGTGTCACTTAAGACTGACTAATCCAACTTAGTTTCTTAGTAACCAGACCCAGGAAAGGAACTGACGTCACCCTATAAAGGGATTGGTTTACTGGGGCTGTGGAGCCAGACCTCACCCTGAGGCTGGGAGTAGATTTTCCTATGGAGGAAGATGACCCAACTTTCCACTTTCAATCACCCAGGGAGGAGGCAGATTGGGGTGGGGGAAGGGGGGCGGGGATGAGGATGCAGGAGGTGAAGCTCAGGCTGGAATGAAGGAAAGTTCTTCCTCTTCATTTTGGGATCAGAATCAGGTGGTGTGAAGATGCCTGGATTGGACTCAGGAAGGCAGATGAGAAGTGAGACAGAAGCCTGCCCAACAAGGCACGTGTCATGAGTGTGCAACCTGGGCCCTACATTTGGAAGGGCTCCGTGATTGTTTTATTACTCTGCTGTCGCCATCTTGAGAGTATTAATTTTTGTACAAGGAGCCCCATATTTTTATTTTGTGCTGAGACCCACAAAATATATAACCATTCCTACTGTCAAATAGGAAGCCCTGGAGGGTCTGAGCACAGGTCTCTGCAGTAGTTCTGAGCTATCCTTTGGGGCGTATCTCCTTTCTTTTGGCCTCACCCCACGCCTGGTTTCAGATGAGCTGGGAGGACCTAGAGAAGGGCTACCTTACGCTCTGGGCAGAGCGGCTGAGGAATGAGTTGCACTCCTCCCCAGGGCCATCACTGTGTCAGCAGCGGTGGCCACTGGCAAAGAATGGCCCAGCCGCAGAGGAGTCTGCAAGGGCCGCGAGCAGGAAACCTGGCATGGAAGGCAGATCAGAGCATCCAGGGGCGGGTAAGCCAGGCCCCAGCCTCGGGCAGGCCCCTGGGGGTGAGTGGCTGCCACATAGGCCGGGGGAGAAGTAAAATGAGGCTTGAGCACGGTGCTGGGCGAACAGTCAGCTTTTATTGGTGGCTGTTAGTCAGTAATGGGAGCCATTATTACTAATACATGTTTAATTACAAATGTGAGAAAAGCAAAGCAAAGCAAAAAGCTACCTGTGGTGCCACTGCTTCAAAACACCTTCTTTAAATAAAAATGGAATCGCACTCTGAATATATCCATGTATATGTATATGTGTGTGTATATATATGTGTGTATATGTATATGTGTGTGTGTATATATGTGATGTGTGTATATGTATGTATGTGTGTATATATATGTGAGTATATGTGTGTATATATGTGTATATACATATGTGATATGTGTGTATACATATGTGATATATATGTGTATATGCGTGTATACATATGTGATGTGTGTATATGTGTATATACATACGTGATATATATGTGTGTGTATCTGTGTGTATATATGTATGCGTGTATATATGTATATATACATATGTGATATATATGTGTATATGCATGTGTGTATATGTGTGTATACATATGTGATGTGTGTGTATGTGTGTATATATGTGTGCATATACATGTGTGATATATGTGTGTATATATGTATGTGTGTATATAGGTATATATACATATGTGATGTGTGTGTATATGTGTGTATATACATATGTGATATATATATGTGTGTGTATGTATCTGTGTGTGTGTGTATATATATATATGTATATATAGAACAGGCATTTTGTCATCCACCTTTTTTTAATGACTACATGATATTCCATTGTATGGATACATGAAAATTCATTGTTAATTCTGAAATTTTAAAGCTTAACAAAAGATACAGAGACTAACATAACAAAAAAGAAATGCCCATGTGCCCTCCATCCATATTAACTAAATGCTAACATTTTGCCTTTAAAAAAGCCTTAAAGGAGCTTTCTACTGGGTGTGTGGCAGTAGCTCCTGAGGGACCTTTCAGAGAGAGCTGGGGTCAGCTGGAAAGACATCAGTGGGGCCTACGCTATTACACACTGGGAACCAGAAGGTTACCTTGAGATCACAAACTAGAGGGTCTGTGGCACTTTGCAGAGGACTGAAAAGACCTTGAGACACATCTATGATTGTCCAAGGCCACCCAGCAAATAAATAAGAAAAAGACAGAACCCTGGAACTTCCCTGGTGGTCCAGTGGTTAAGACTCCATGCTTCCACTGTGGGGAGCACAGGTTCAATCCCTGGTTGGGGAACTAAGATCTCACATGCCATGTGGTGGGGCCACAATAAAAGAAAGAAAGAAAAAGGAAGGAAGGAAGGAGGAAGGAAGGAAGGAAGGAAGGAAGGAAGGAAGGAAGAAGGAAGGAGGAAGGAAGGAAGGGAGGGAGAGAGAGAGAGAGAGAGAAAGAAAGAAAGAAAGAAAGAAAGAAAGAAAGAAAGAAAGAAAGAAAGAAAGAAAGAAAGAAA